CCTACTACCAACACACACACACACACACACACACACACACACACACACACACACACACACACACACACACACATCATGTTCAGTTTTGCAGTTCAGTTATTTGGTGCATGTTCCAGCCCTTACCTTAGAGGTCCTTAACCCTGACTGCATAAATAATACCACCTTTTACAATTTCTGGAACTTCTCTCTAAACTCTTTCATCCGAATTCTTCAGAATGAGATTCTGAGATTCATGTTTTAAAATCCTCCTCAAATAGCTCTTCTATGCATCCTGAGACAAGGACAATAGCATTACTCAAACATGTCCCACATGCAGGAGCAATGTCTTATTTCCTTTATAGCTTACAGCTCTGCCTCACATATAGTTCAATATTTCATTGAAGCAACTTGAATCAACTTGTTAATGGAGATCATTCATAAGAAAAACTACAAAAGCACATTTTGGTTATATAACTTGGAAGCGCTCAAAATGAAAAAGGGGATAATGTTCTTATTAATGCTTTTTTCTTTGAATTTGTAAGGGGAATAGGACCCTTGTATTTTCCTCAATAAGGCATTAGCACACTGTGTTTTCTCAACAAGCCCATAGGCATTCAAGTATCAGAAAATTAATTGAGGTATTTCTATCTACATCCCACAAATAACCTATGTGTCAGAGAAAAGAAAACCACAAAGAAGACTGATGTCATGGCACTAGCATCCCAGGTGTACTCTGGGAGACGTTAAAATGCTCAGCATGCTGAGTACACTTATTTTCATGAGTTTATGTAAGCAAAGAGGGAATTGGGTAGAGGAAGACTGCCTGGAGAAATGTTTGCTTAGGTGCACGGCAATGGAGAGAGGGCTTCCTCCTAAGGGACACAGGTAGAAAGAAGAAGTGCATCACAGCACTGGATGGAGCTACTCAGGAAGCTGAGATTTAAGGATTGCAGTTCTAAGCCAGCTGGGGAGGAAAGTCTATGAGACTCTTACTCCCAGTTAAGCAACTAAAAGCTAAAGTGGGGGTGTGGTTCTGGTGGTAGAGCACCAGCCTAAGGAAAAAATAAAGCTAACAGACAGCTTCCAGGCCCTGAGTTTAAACACTTGTACTGATCCACACATACACACACACACCCCAAAAGAAAAGTGCCATCTAGACTTGGATTATTCCTGCCAATGAGAATAACATCTCCAGCTTGTGAAGTCTGGGTAATAGCCCCATCATATCCCTACTACTTTTCAATTTCATGAAGGCAGGAATGAGATACATTTTGTTATGTGCAACTTAAACATGGCCAGTTAAGCATTTCAAAAACTGAGTAAATGGGAGGAAATTGGGTTAAATGAAAAAAGAAAAAAGATGAAAAAATTACAATCTGAAAGAATAATTAATAATAACGCCCACAGGAGTGGAATATCTATTTGGGCATCCTAGCAGACAGAGCAAAGTGAGAAACAGAATTTGTTGGTAGTAGTGGTGGTGGTGGTGGTGGTGGTGGTGGTGTGTGTGTTGCCAGTCCTGGGGCTTGAAGTCCGGGCCTGGGTGCTGTTCCTGAGGTCTTTTTGCTCAAGACTAGTGTGCTACCACTTGAGTCACAGCTCTACTTCTGGCTTTTTCTGTGATTAGCTGGAGATAAGAGTCTCATAGACTTTCTTGCCTGGGCTGGTTTTGAACTGGGATCCTCAGATCTCAGCCTCCTGCATAGCTAGAATTACAGTTGTGAGCCACCAGCACCGAGATGGATAAGATTTTTTTAATTAATTATATTTTTGGTCAGTTGTGGGACTTGAACTCAGAGCTTGGGTGCTGTCCCTAAGTTTTTTTGCTCAAAGCTAGTGCTCTACCACTTTGTACCACAGTGTCACTTCCAGTTTTCTGGTGGTTAATTGAAAATAAGAGTCTCACAAGCTTCCATGCCATGGCTGGCTTTGAACTACAATCCTGACTATCTCAGCTTCCTCAGTAGCTAGGATTACAGAC